ATATCATTAAACTTATCTTTACTCAATAAGAATCCACAACCATCCTTTGCAATATCTGGCGTCCCTTTAGGTATTGGAGAGGGATTGGGGAAAAGAGAGGACATTATAAAGGAATGAAACAATTATCAAAGAAGGATAAACAATTTTTGAAATAATGTGACACTGAAATAAAATTAAGATATTTTGTAACTATTGAAAGAGCAAGCACCCCACGTCTGCAATGATTTAAATGTCAACTATTACAGAAGTCTCAGAAATACCTTTCTATCTGTAAGTCCCAAGGTGAAATTGGGATAGTAATTTTTCACTGACATCTCAAAGGGCACTATTTTGTTCACTCTATTCTGAGAAAGGGTCACCTTGTAAATGAGAGGGCAGTCTTGTTAAATACGAAGTAGGAATAGTTTAAAGGAGGTAACAAAACAGCATAGTCCAGCAGTTTGGGCATAAGTCTGGAACTCAGAAGTCCTGAGTTCTATTCTTAACTCTGCAACCAGTTCATTATATGACCTTGGATAAGTCACTTTAGCTCTGTGCCTCAGTTTCTCCATCTGTAAAGTTGGGACAGTAATTCTCTAAAGTACTTTGGGATATTTAAATAAAATATAAGCGAGAAGTATTAACACAGTGCAATAGAAACTTGTTAATTTATGCTTTGCTTACCTGTGCACTCCTTCCACATGTACAAACCAACTGCTTTCCTCTCAGTTTTCAGCAAAAGATGTAACTGCTTGAGTTCTGTAGTTTGGACTTTTATATTTCTAAGATTGTATTTTACTAGTTTACCATGAAACACTGTGACAAGTAACTAATAGGACATTTGCCATATAAAGAGGTGCAGTACAGTGTGTGATAAACTATCTCTGCTTTTTACTATATGTGGTCACTAACTTGTTAATCTGCAAAATTTGATGACTCGAGAGATATTCCACTATCAGTGTGGATGTGTTAATTTGTGAAGGCTCAGGAACTAAAAACCAGGCTTATTTACCCTCATGGTGTCTCCATTTCCTTTTTCAAATACAACAGCTCACTCAGTACCATATTCTGGGTTACTCAACAACCCATGATATTACATGCACACAAAAACGAAGTTCATTAAATTGTTTTCTTTAGAAATGGTAAAAAGAACTTCAACTGGTACCCGCTAGACATACCATACTATATGCTGTCACTTCTGAATCATTTCACTAGTTGTTCAGGGTAAAGCACCCCAAAATTCTCCAGAACCAAAGCTTTGAGCCTGCTAGATGATCCAAATGTGTACATTATTGCATCTACACTGTAATGATATGAATACTGAAACTTGTTAAAAATTATACTAAGAGGTGTCCTTTGACATACTCTGTATCAGGAAAAGCCTAAATAACAGCTATTGTTTATGTCAAACATACAAACTGTTTTTAAAACTTTAAGAAACAAAACCCATAGCTTATTAGTTCTGAAGGATTTGAGCTTACTGGGTATAGAGTACACACTTGGCTGTTTGTTACAAGGTATTACTAGACTCTTTCTTATTTATGCCTTGTTTGCTCAGCAACTGAAGAGTAAAACATTGACGGGATAGATGAATTGCCTTGTGCTATGAGGGGTATCTGACCTGTAGCAGCATTTTTGCAAGATAATTTTCTATGCCTTCCCTTCCCCATACTAATAATAGCTGGAACAGTTCCCTCTACAAAGCACAATATTTTAAAGAACATACACTATATTTATCTATTTCTTCTTGCTGCTATCTGAATTTGACCTTTCTGTGATGAGAGCAAGAATGGCACACATTTCTCTCTCTTCCAAGAAAAAAAAAGTACATTCAGTTTTGTAAAAGGGAAGGAACTACAGGCAGTTCCATCTCCTACCTGGGTCTTGTATACTTGTGTTACACAATTCTTATGAAAGTTGGGGTGTTGTCTTCAGCCATACAGCTAACATCCTGTTGGATCTCACAAACTCAGCAGGGTTGGCATAGGTCGCTATTTGGATGGGAGACCACTAAGACATGCAATTAGAGGTACGGGAAGGAAGTAGCTAACCAATATCCAAACACAACATAGAATCATAGAAGATTAGGAGACCTTAGGAGGTCATCTAGTCCAACCCCCTGCTCAAAGATGTTAGAGGGCAATATACTGCCAGAGGTGGTCTCTGTCATCTGAGGGTCCTGTGGCACCTTTAAGACTAACAGAAGTATT